GAACAAAGATTCCCAGGCACCTTGCCCCAAACACTCTCCCTCTTGTTTTCCCAGGCACTCTACCTGCAAACTGTCTCCCCCTTGGTCTCCACAGAGCCAAACCCAAAATTGAAGAATAGGTCCACCTGACTTTGACCTGGGTAAGCAACTACAGAACCTCTTCTTTGTTAACATTAAAAGTCTCCCACAGACCAGGTAGCCTTGCCAAGATTAGCTCTCTCTCAGCTGTTCCAGCTCATGATTACACTCTAAAAAAGATCCTATAAAGTTTCCTTTCCCCTTTCATTCATTGCTGTCTTGGTCCACTAGACAGCCAGCCTGCTTTCTGTCCCCAATAAATCTTCTCATGTCAGAATGCCTGGAATGTTTGACAATGTGAGTTCATACCTAACAGTGTCCAGGTTGGCTGGATTTTGGGCTATGCATGGAGTACTGAGTTGAGAACATTCAAACCCAAAGACAGCAAGCTGCTGATCCCCCTTCCTCATTCTGCATCTTTCTCTACCCCTTCTTTTCCCTTCAGTACTCCATGACTTTCTTCTTCATCTAATTTCTCCCACCCATGTACCCAAATGCCCTTGAAAATAAAAAACAAAAAACAAAAACAAAAACAAAAACAAAAACAAAACACTGAAAAATTTATATGAATTCTTCATTGCTGTGGTTCAGGGGGTCTGAACTCTCACCTGCTACCCCACCCCACCCCACCCCACGTTGACTGATCTTGATCTTTTTGGGACTTAGCTCTGTATTCATGGCAGTTTTCAACCTCCCACCGTGCTACAAGTGTTGGGTGCAATGCTTGTTCTGACCAAGACCACATGAATTTATAACCTCCCCCTCCCATTGTGAGAATAAAGGCCCACAGCTAATTGGAAGAAAGTCCCATCAGTTACCACCTTTAACCAAATCTAAGCAAACAAGAGAAGGACCCATTACAATTCCCAGGGTAATTGCTGCCTGCAAGCTTTGTCTACTTGGATCTCTCTCAATTATACTATCTTCTCCAAAAAACAAAAATCAATAAAACAAAATAGACTGCCTAAATAGTACACTCCACTTGTCATATAATGAACAAGTTACTAAAACATCTATTTTCTGAGTCCTTCCAGTGGACTTTGTCTCAAGGCATCTTGGAGAGGATCCAGGAATTGAGACAGTCCTGCCATGCAGATCATTACCCAGCTCAGGCCCCTTCTAAATCCCAGGAATACGTGTGTACAAGTGCCTGCTCACCTCATCCCAAGGAGCTGTTTTATGTGCATGCATATGTGTGTGAGTGTCCCCCGCCCCTGCAGCCATCACCTGTGCACATTAGAATCAACACTTTTCTATTTTTTTTTCTTTTCAAAGTTTTATTGATAAACATATAGCAATGAGACAGTTTCAAATCAAATCGAAAGTACAGTTTCAACAAATAATACACTGCATATATTCTTCTTAGTGGTTAATTGCTGTACAAGATGCAGACTTGTGATCCTACTTACAAACACCATTAGAAAAAATCATTCTATTCATTAAGAGAATGCAACTATATATCTATCCCAACCACTTTGAATACACAGATACAAAATGGACATTCATAGTTATACCCCAATTTTTTTTTAAGTTCCGTTGTTGGATATTATAGGTGTGTAAACTCGCAAAATATTCTAAAAGAGTACAGAAGCCCATAATAGCATTGAGTCTTCTGTTTAATTGGCAATGTCAGAAATTATTGACGTGAGTCCCCCACAGCTCAACATAACAACATGGCTTTACTTCCTATATTTCATCTTCATACTTTTCTAGTGGATGGTTAAGACCAAGGTAAAGCAGAACCTATGCAACAAGAGTTGTAGCTTTTTGGTTTGAGAAGGTCAGTGAAATGCCCTCAGGATTTATCCTGAGATCCTGTCCTCAGATTGTAGAACCTTTGTCAGTGCAGCCATGTGGATGAGTCACGGCCATTGCTTGGCCAATGTGCTCTCTGTGAAAGCCTGAGAGAGTGTCTTCTCCTCATGTGACTCTCCTTAGGAACACTTTTCTATTTTTGAGTGCAGTGTCCCTTGTCTCTCAGAAGATTTCAGACATTTTAGCCTCAGACTGGGGCCACATCATTGGTCCTTCTAGTCTGAGGTTTCCAAATTCTCATATTTCATAGCTACTGGTTTTTATTGCCTCTGCAGTACAAAGTCAGACTTAGTCTCTCTGATTCTGTGAACAAATCTAATGGGTTTCTTCTTATAATTATTAACATTTTATTGGTCTTTTCACAAGATTTCTGTTACTTGATCCTCCTAATATTGCTTTGTTTTGAAATAGAGTTTTACCATGTTAATCAGGCTGGACTTAAATGTGAAGGCTCAGGAGAGCCTCTTGTCTCAACCTCAGGAGGAACTGGGTCAATAGTCAGAAGCTACCATATCCAGTTTCTAATTCTCATATTTTTAATTTACTTATTTTAATGTGGTTACCATTAAAATTGAAAATTACAGAAAAAATTCTAAACTAAATCATATTCAGCTAACTAGATATTCAAACACTTGAATGAATTTAATTAAAATTTTAGTCAGAAACTTAGTTCTCTTTCCCATCTTGCAAGATGGCAGGTGAAAAAGCTGAGAAACCAGACACTAAAGAGAAGAAACCCGAAGCCTGAAGATTTCTGCCAGTGGTACTGGTAAAAATGCTAAGGTAAACACAAAAACGTCCAAGAAGGGGCAGTCCCACTACAACCAAAATACTGTGCTGATTAGAGGAATTGGTAGATACCACCAATCTGCTATATATTCCAGAGAGACTTTATACAAGAGAAAGTACACAGCTGCTACCTCAAAGGTTGAGAAGAAAAATAAGGAGAAAGTTCTTGCTATGACCACAAAACTGGTTGGTGGGGACAAGAATTTTGGTACCTGGGTGGTTAAGCTACAAAAAATGCCTAGATACTACCCTACTGAAGATGTACCCTGAGAGCTCTTGAACCATCGCAAGAAACCCCTCAGTCAGCATGTGAGGAAACTTTGAGCTAGCATCACTCTGGGAACCATCTTGATCCTCCTCACTGGGCATCACAAAGGCAAGAGAGTTGTCTTCCTGAAGCAGTTGGCCAGTGGCTTGCTTCTTGTGACTGGGCCTCTTAGCCTTAATCATGTTCCTCTATGAAGAACACACCAGAAATTTGTCATTGCTACCTCTACAAAAATTGATATAGGCAAAGTGAAAATCCTGAAACACCTCCCTGATGCTTACTTCAAGAAGAAGAAGCTGTGGAAACCTGACACCAGAAGGGCAAGATCTTTGACACCAAGAAAGAGAGAAACTAGATTTCAGAGTAGCACAAGGTGGATCAGAAAGAGGTAGACTCACAAATTTTACCAAAAATCAAAGCTGTTCCTCAGTTCCAGGGCTACCTGCGATCTGTTTTTGCTCTGACAAATAGAATTCATCCTCATAAATTAGTGTTCTAAATTTCTTACTAAGAACCTAATTAAATAAGTGATACATTTAAAAAAATAAAATTTTAACTAAATGGTAGAGACTCAGCTTTGGAGAATTTTTTGGCAGTCAGAGTCAAACTTAATTTCTTTCTTTTAAAGAATAAAAAATAGTAAAAATAACCCCAACATTAGAAACAATACATGCTTTTCCTAAACAAAATGATACGAATTTACAATTATTATTATACTGCATATTATTCTCTTCAAATTACTCCTTCAGATTACCAGATATGAGCATGCAAAATTGGTCCAAAATTTATGAAAAAATAAAAAGGAGAAAAAAAACACTTAAGCATTAGCTGCTCCTTTCAGTAAAACAGCATAAATCAGCAATACAATTATCCAAGCTATCTCATGTGTTTCTTTTTTTTTTATATATATATATATAACTTGCTTTTATTAAGCAGGAGGGGGAAATCACATTTTTTAAAGCAGTAGATATTCCAACAGCTTCAGGGAAAAACAACTTCATATCAGCTTGTTTGAAAGTATCTTTTAAAATAAATGAGAAATTAAATTCTTGAAGCAGAGAGAAGATACCGAAAAGCTCTAGGCCTTGACAAATTAGGTGCTGTGTAGCTTCACCATTTGAGTGTTCATGTAAATGTGTAGTAAATTAGAATAATAGCATCTGAACAACATCAGGACTATCTTCTCATTTCACTTGAATTAAACCAGAATTTCTGGAACTTCCAAATAATAAAGTTTTCCAATATGAATATACGCCTACTATTCCTTTCTACATATCAAATGTGCAATAATTGTACAATATTATCAATATTCTCACAGAAAGATTTTTAAGGCTTCTGGCACATAAAGTAAGAAATATTTGTGTGTCAGTGTCATAATTATGTACAGAAAATACTTAAAATTTTCCTGTGCAACTTATACTCTAAAGATTAAAACACCAAGTGTTCATGTTAATACAGTATTAAAATAT